CCCAGTTTATCCCAGTTCATCCCAGTTTGTCCCAGTTCCCACCGGGCCTCATCGCGCCGCTTCTCCACGCGGGGCTCGCGCGCCTCTGCCGGAACCGGAAATGACGTCAGAAATCCCAGCTACTCCCACAACACCGCGCATGCGCCCTGCCCATACTGACGCTAAGCCACGCCCCCTTCCGGGCATAAGTGCCCTCAGAGGGCCATTTCCGGTCCCCCAAACGGATAAAACCGGGGATTTTGGGGATAAAAACTAGGATTTGGAAAAAAATGGGAATTTTGGGGTTAAAAATCGTGATTTTGAGGATAAAAAAGGGAATTTTAGGGAGAAAATGGGAATTTTGGGAAAAAAAAGAGGATTTTTGGGATAAAAACGGGAATTTTGGGCACTTCCGGTCCGGCCTCGCCGCCATTTTTCCTCCGAGAGGCGGCGCTCCGGCCCGGTGCCCGCTCTCGGTGGTTTACGTGACGTCACTTCCGGCGACGCTCTGGCGGTTCCGCCGTGACTCGTTGGTTCCGGCGAGCGGCGAGCGAGGGGTGAAAGTGACTTTGAGAACTGGGACGTACTGGGATGAACTGGGATAAACTGGGATAAACTGGGATGGACTGGGATAAACTGGGATAAACTGGGAGGGACTGGGAGGGGAAATGGGGTAAACTGGGAGCACTGGGGGGTTACTGGGATGAATTGGGAGGGATTGGGGAGCACTGGGAGGAACTGGGGGGAACTGGGAGGGTCGGGGGGGTTACTGGGATGGACTGGGAGGGATTGGGGAGCACTGGGAGGAACTGGGATGGACTGGGAGGGATCTGGGGCATGACTGAAATGAACTGGGAGGGGGTACTGGGATAAACTGGGAGGGACTGGGTTATACTGGGAGGGGACTGGGATGGACTGGGCGTTACTGGGATGAACTGGGAGGGATTGGGGGGTTACTCGGGGGATACTGGGATGAACTGGGAGGGATTGGGGGGTTACTCGGGGGATACTGGGATGAACTGGGAGCACTGGGAGGGGACTGAGAGCAAGTGGGATGGACTGGGGGGAACTGGGAGGGGTCACTGGAGGGTTACTGGGATGAACTGGGAGGGATTGTAGGGGGTACTGGGGTGAACTGGGATGAGCTGGGATGGGTTACTGGGAGCACTGGGAAGGTGTTGGGATGAACTGGGAGTACTGGGAGGGATCTGGTCGATTACTGGGATGAACTGGGATAGCACTGAGAGGGGACTGGGATGGACTGGGATAAACTGGGATGGACTGGGAAGGGATTGGGGGGAACTGGGATGGACTGGGAGTACTGGGATGAAGTGGGAGCAGACTGGGGGGGTTACTGGGATAAACTGGGAGTGACTGGGATAAACTGGGATGGACTGGGGAGTTACTGGGATGAACTGGGATAAACTGGGATGAACTTGGAGGGCACTGGGATGGACTGGGAAGGGGCTGGGGGGTTACTGGGATGAACTGGGAAGGACTGGGACAGCACTGGGAGCAACTGGGATAAACTGGGAGGAACTGGGAGAAACTGGGAGGGTTCATTTGGGGTAACTGGGATGAACTGGGAGGGGACTGGGATGGACTGGGAGGAGATTGCGGTTACTGGGATGAACTGGGAGGGAACTGGGAGCACTGGGAGGGGACTGGGATGGACTGGGGGTAACTGGGATGGACTGGTATAAACTGGGATGAACTGGGAGGGACTGGGGGAAACTGGGAGGGGTCATTTGGGGTAACTGGGATGAACTGGGAGGGGACTGAGGCATTACTGGGATGAACTGGGAGTGATACTGGGATGAACTGGGATGAACTGGGAGCACTGGAAAGGCACTGGGCATGAACTGGGATTTACTGGGATGAACTGGGAGGAGATTGGGGGTTACTGGGATGGACTGGGATGAACTGGGATGAACTGGGAGGCGTCACCGCAGCCTCAATTCCCCTCAGCCCTAATTAACATCCTCATGAATATGCAAATTAGCGATTAACGAATGCCATTAATGATCAAATGACCCCAAATTCCCTCCTGGGGGGGGTCTTAATTAATCCAATTAATCCTTGGGGGCATTAATTAATAATTAATTAGAGGTTAATTAATAATTAGTTAATCAGTTCTGTAGTGTGTT